CCCTCCACACTGAGAAACCCAGTTCTAAACCTGAACGACCTTGTGTTCCGATGGAACCCAGTTTCTCATTCCCTGCTAGTGCTCCCATGGCACCCAGTTCCTTCCTCCCCACTGAGAAACCCAGTTCTAAACCTGAACAACCTAGTGCTCCCATGGAACCCAGTTTCTCCCTCCCCACTGAGAAACCCAGTTCTAACCCTGAACGACCTTGTGTTCCGATGGAACCCAGTTTCTCATTCCCTACTAGTGCTCCCATGGCACCCAGTTCCTTCCTCCCCACTGAGAAACCTAGTTCTAAACCTGAACAACCTAGTGCTCACATGGAACCCAGTTTCTCATTCCCCACTAGTGCTCCCATGGAACCCAGTTCCTCCCTCCCCACTGAGAAACCCAGTTCTAAACCTGAACAACCTAGTGCTCCAATGCAACCCAGTTCCTCTTTCCCCACTGAGAAGTCTAGCTCTCTCCCCACTGAGAAACCCAGTTCTACAGCCAAAACAACCTAGTGCTCATTTGTAGCCAGGTTTTCCCATACCATATTAGAAGTCCAGCGTTAAATCTGCTAAACTTGGCATTGTAATGGAATCCATTTCATCACTCCCATCCAAGATGTTTAGCTCTCTTCCCTCTGAGAAACTGTTATAAACCTGAGAAAGCTAGTGATGCTATACAATCCAGTTCTTCTCCCTCTCGTTAGAAGTCCAACATTAAAACGGTCTAAACTAATTTTTAAATGTTGGTCTCTTCCCTCTAAGAACTTGACTTCTAAATGTAAAATACTCTGTTCCCTGAATAGTTCTCTTAACCCTCTGAAAATTCTAGTTTGTATCTGGAATCCAGTTCCCCCTGTTCACACAAGTGTTGATTCTGGAAGAACAAACCACTCATGTGTTCGTAATTAAATTTGTGTTTTTGTGTGCGACCAGACAAAATATCAGATTGTTTTGGAATGCTTTGCTTTGTGACTTTTTCTGTGTTAAGGGTAGTTATTGGCTGGTCTTTTTGTGAGTGAAAGGCCTGTCTTAAAGTGTGTTTAACAAATTTTTGTTTCAGAGCAAAACCAATCCAACTCGCTTCAGATTGGGTTCAGTGACCTTCTATCTATTCAGGGCTTCATTTAACTCTGAGTACATGCATATACTGTAAATGTAACATTTACAGCAAACAGTCAATTATGCAAGATGCGGTGAGTACATGGATCACTTCCAATGGAAATGTAAAAAAATATTAATTAAAATACATTTATTCGGCAAGAAATACTGATTTTGCCAGGAAAAGAAATTCAGTACATGCTCTTAAAGTTTGTTTTAAACCGTATGAGACAACCAAAGACAAATGTATAGTACCTAGACTCCCCATTAACATACACATTACATGCCCGTTTGTGGACTGATATATGTTTACCATGGCATGTTAATATGACTCAAAATATAATAAAAACTAATAAGATTACAAATTAATCAAGAACACTCCTAAATTGTTGGGAGGAATTTTTAAAAACAGACCGAGGACACCCTTTGAAAAACAAACTTGTAACATAACACTTGTCCATATTACTTATTTAGACTCATTTTATGTCCAAGTCTATTTCAAAACTCAAAATCACAAGTGGTAAACAGTGATGCGAAATCCATCAGTGCATGAATTAAGGCCATGTACACGGGTATTTTTGTAAACTGAGTTTTTCCTCCTTCCGTTTAAAAAAAAAAAAAAAAAAAGCTCCGTCCACGTGCAAACGCATGCTATGAAGCACTGTCAAACCAACAGGTGGTGATATAATCTCAACTGTAAAGCCATGTTGGCCAGTCAGAAGCCTGAAAAAGTTTCCAGTAGGCGGCGATAACAGTGCAGGCTCCGATGTCACAAGCTAAAAACTCTGGTTTCGTTATCTACACGATAACACTGCAACTGGAGTTTTTGAAAATCTTCACCCTGTCAGGTGTTTTCAAAAATGTTCGGTTTCAGTGACCTGGGGTGTATTCCAGAAAGCACGGTTAACTTACCGTCAGCTCAACCATGAACTTTCGGTTGATTAACCCCAAATCTTGCTTACTCGAGGTATGTGGTTCCAAAAACGCATCCGGGAGTAAGTTCATTCAACTCAGTATGTTCCTGGTTCAGACTCAAGACATTCTCAACAGAGCGAGGAATCGACGAGTCACTATGGAAATGGACGCTAAGAAAAAGCGTGCCACTGTTTCTTTCTTTCTTTTGTTCAATGGTCGTTTACATGCTTAGTGCATATCGCCACCTAATTGATGGTTGTGCAATCTTTCATTTTATCTTTAATCCTTGAGAATATGAATTATATTGTTTGATGCTAATTATATATTAAGTCAAATCAGATATGTATTTTGATTTAGAATTTAGACATAGAAAATGCCGATCCATGTGTTAATGATAATATAAAATGGATGTCAGAAGTCAGAAAGAGCTTTATTTCCAAGTATGTTTGCACATACAAGGAATTTGTTTTAGTGTCACAAGCTTTCAGTACACCGAGACAACAACAACACACAGATAATAAAAAAAAAAAGATGTGAATAAAATACACATGCATAAATATATACAGGTGAGCTATAGATTGAATAGGAATAGAATGAAATAAAACAATAAAACGTAAGTTGCAGGGGTGTACTAGGATTTAGGGTAGTAAATATGTATTGGGTTATTGCACATACTTTTATTGCACAATGGGAGAACATTAACTGTTCATGAGGTAGATTGCCTGGGGAAAGAAACTGTTCTTGTGCCTGGCTGTCCTGGTATTTGGTGCTCTGTAGTGCCAACCAGATGGCAAAAGTTCAAAAAGGAGATGGCTTCGGATGTGAGGGATCTAGAGTGATTTTCTGAGCCCTTTTCATTACTCTGGATGTATACAGAGGGTGAGCAGGGGAGCACCAATAATCCTTTCAGCAGTCCGAACCGTTCTCTGTAGTCTTCTGATGTCTGATTTTGTAGCTGAACCAAACCAGACAGTTATTGAAGTGCACAGGACAGACTCGAGGACGGCTGAGTAGAACTGTTTCAGCAGCTCTGGTGGCAGGTTAAATTTCCTGTTGGCGAAGGAAGTACAGCCTTTGTTGGGCCTTTTTAACAATGTGAAAAGTCGATGTGAGTGTCCCACTTCAGGTCCTGAGAGATGGTGGTTCCCATGAATCTGAATTACTCCACTGCAGTCACAGTGCTGTCCATGATAGTGAGTGCAGGGGGGTTCCTCCTGAAGTCCACGATCATCTCCACTGTTTTGAGCGTGTTCAGCTCCAGGTTGTTAAGACTGCACCAGACAGCCAGCTCTTTAACCTCCTGTCTGTAGGCAGATTCATCTCCGTCCTGGATGAGGCCTATGACTGTAGTGTCATCTGCAAACTTCAGGAGCCTGCATTTATTTGATACAAGTACAGCAAGAGCAGTAATATTGTGAAATATTTGTACAATTTAAAATAACTGCTTTCGAATGAATTATATATTTAAAATGTAATTTATTCCTATGATCAAAAATCTGAATTTTCAGCATCATTACTTCAGTGTCACATGATCCTTCAGAAATCATTCTAATATGCTCATTTGCTGTTCAAGAAACGTTGTTGTTGTTGTTGTTATCAATATTTAAAACAATTGAGTACATCTGTCAGGGCTATTCCCCTGACACTCTGTTTGTCTTGTGTTTGCTCCCTGTGTCTATGTTGTCTTGTGTCAGCACGTGGCTTTGTTGATTGTTTTTCTCAGCCATGTGCTTCTCTAGCCCCTTCTCCTTGTTTCCTCTTTACCATACCTTCTTGTTAGCCTTGTTGGTCTAATTGTGCCCCTTGCCCTAATGTCTTTGCTGGTTCATGGTCATTTTCACCCCTTCTATCACTGTCTTTGTCTCTGTCTGTGGATGTGGCTGAGTATGTGTCCCTGTCTCCCTGCCTGGTTGGTCTTGTGCCCTTGTCTTGTCTGGTCCTTTGTAGTTCCATGTTCTTGACTTGCTCCTTGTTTTAGCATTTTGTCTGTTCTTGCTTTTTGGTTTTATTTTAATATTTATTCAGTTTTTCTAATCCTGATCTTTTGTTTTGCATTTTTGTTTGATATTCTTTAAGTTAGTGTGTTGGTTAAATTGATGACTATTTCTTTATTTTGTTACTTTACTCTTTATCCGTTCTTTTGTTTTATTTATCCCCTTGCTTGCTTTGGGAGTAAATGTGTTCCTGTGGAGCCTTGTCCTGTCTTGTCTCTTTGTGTTAGAGTTCCTGTCCTGACCTATTCCTTTGAGTCCTGCCA